GTCGCAGAGCCGCAGGGGGGTGATGGATGAGCAGAGGGGGTGGGCCGACAGGAGACAGTGACTACTTCGTCTAGCTACGTTCGCTTGTGTCTGTGCGTGTGAGTGTGTCTGTGAGTGTGTGTGCGCGCGTGTGTCTGTGAGTGTGAGTGTCTGTGTGTGTGCGCGTGTGAGTGTCTGTGAGTGTGTGTGAGTGTGTATGTGCGCGTGTGAGTGTCTGAGTGTGTGTCAGTGAGTGTGTGTGTGCGCGTGTGTCTGAGTGTGAGTGTCTGTGAGTTTGTGTGTGCGCGTGTCTGTGTCTGTGAGTGTGTGTGTGCGCGTGTGTGTCTGTGTGTCTGTGAGTGTGTGTCTGTGTGTGTACGTCTCTGTGTGTCTGCGTGTGTATATGTGTCTGTCTGTGTGTCTGTGTGAGTGTGTCTGAGAGTGTGTGTCTGAGAGTGTGTCTGTTATTGTGTGTGTCTGAGTGTGTGTCTGTGTGTGTATATGTGTCTGTGAGTGTGTGTCTGTGTGTGTATATGACTGTGTGTACGTCTGTGTGTGTCTGTGTGAGTGTGTGTATATGTGTCTGTGTGTGTGTCTGTGTGTGTGTCTGTGTGTCTAAGAGTGTGTCTGTGTGTGTGTCTGTGTGAGTGTGTGTCTGAGAGTGTGTCTGTGTGTGTATATGTGTCTGTGCGTGTACGTCTGTGTGTGTCTGTGTGAGTGTGTCTGAGAGTGTTTGTGTGTGTATATGTGTCTGTGTGTGTACGTCTGTGTGTCTGTGTGAGCGTGTCTGTGTGTGTCTGAGAGTGTGTGTGTGTGTGAGTGCGTGTGTACGTCTGTGTGTGTGTCTGTGTGAGTCTGTGAGTGTGTCTGTGTGTCTGTACGTGTGTGTCTGTGAGTGTGTGTGTCTCTGTCTCTGTGTGTGTCTGTGCCTGTGTGTGTCTGTGCCTGTGTGTGTCTGTGCATGTCTCTGTGTGTGTGTCTGTGTGAATGTGTCTGTGTGTGTGAATGTGTCTGTACATGTGTGTGTCTGAGTGTGTGTGTCTCTGTGTGTGTGTCTGTGAGTGTGTGTGTCAGTGAGTGTCTGATTATGTGTGTGTCTGCGTGTGTGTCTGCGTGTGTGTGTGTCTGTGTGTGTGTGTCTATGTGTGAGTCTGTGTGTGTCTGTGTGAGTGTGTGTCTGTGTGTGTGTCTGCGTGTGAGTGTGTCTGTGTGTGTGTGTCTGAGTGTGTGTGTCTGTGTCTGTGTGTGTGAGTGCGTGTCTGTGTGTCTCTGTGTGTGCCTGTGTGTGTCTATGTGAGTCTCTCTGTGTGTGTCTGAGTGTGTGTGTCTGTGTCTGTGTGTGTGAGTGCGTGTCTGTGTGTCTCTGTGTGTGCCTGTGTGTCTGTGTGAGTCTCTCTGTGTGTGTCTGTGTGTGTGCGTGTGTGTCTCTGTGTGTGAGTGCGTGCGTGTGTGTCTGTGTGTGTGTGTGTCTGTGTGTGTGTGTGTGTCTGTGAGTGTGTGTGTCAGTGAGTGTCTGAGTATGTGTGTGTCTGCGTGTGTGTCTGCGTGTGTGTGTGTCTGTGTGAGTGCGTGTCTGTGTGTGTCTCTGTGTGTGCCTGTGTGTCTGTGTGAGTCTCTCTGTGTGTGTCTGTGTGTGTGCGTGTGTGTCTCTGTGTGTGAGTGCGTGCGTGTGTGTCTGTGTGTGTGTGTGTCTGTGTGTGTGTCTACGTGTGTGTGTGTCTGTGTGAGTGTGTGTCTGTGTGTGTGTCTGCGTGTGAGTGTGTCTGTGTGTGTGTGTCTATGTGTGAGTCTGTGTGTGTCTGTGTGAGTGTGTGTCTATGTGTGTGTCTCTGTGTGTGTCTGTGTGAGTGTGTGTCTGTGTATGAGTGTGAACACATGAGATACGCCCTCTTAGCCAGTCTCCGAGCACATGACACTGCACTGTTACCACAGGCTCCGTGCTGCCCAGGTCTCTAGAACCTTCCCATCTCATAACGGAAACCGCGCTGTTTTATCACAAGCCCAGCTGAGCCCATGAGCCGGAGGGAGGCCCAGCCGCGGGCACTGGCTCCCCCTAGTGGAGGAGGGGGAATCAGACCCGTGCCCGGGCCCCCAGCCTCCTGCACTGGGGGGCAGAGGGGGCCTTGGGGTCCTGCGGGAACATCCGCGGGACAGAGGTGGCAGCGTCAGAGCTGCAGGGAGGCTCCGCGTCCCAACGCCAGACCCCCTCAGCCTCTGTGTGCGGTGCCGTCCCCCTCCAGCCGCAGCCCGCCCTGGACCCCAGGCTCTGCAGATGGCGAGCAGGGCTCAGGCCGGCGCACAGAGAGGTGTGTGTGTGTGTGTGTGTGTGTG